ATTATTATTATTATTATTATTATTATTATTATTATTATTATTATTATTATTATCATTATCATTATTATTATTATTATTATTATTATTATTATTATTATTATATTATTATTATTATTATTATCATCATATCATCATCATCATTATCATTATTATTATATTATTATATTATTATTATTATATATATTATTATTATTATATTATTATTATTTATTATTATTAATATCATTATTATTATTATTATTTTATTATTATTATTATTATTATATATTATTATTATTATTATTATTATTATTATTATTATATATTATCATTATTATCATTATCAATATTATTATTATCATTATCATTATCACTATCATTATTACTATTATCATTATTTTTATCATCATTATCATTATTATTATTGTTATTGTTATTGTTATTGTTATTGTTGTTATTATTGTTATTGTTATTGTTATTGTAATTTTAATTGTTATTATAATTTTAATTGTTATTATAATTTTAATTATTATTATAATTTTAATTTTATAATTTTAATTGTTATTATAATTTTAATTGTTATTATAATTTTAATTGTTATTATAATTTTAATTGTTATTATTATTAAATTTTAATTTAATTGTTATTATTATTAATTATATAATTTTAATGTTATTATAATTTTAATTGTTATTATAATTGTTAATTGTTATTATATTTAATTGTTATTATAATTTAATTATTATAAATTGTTTTACATATTTTAATTAATTGTTATTATAATTTAATTGTTATTATAATTTTAATTGTTATTATATTTTAATTGTTATTATAATTTTAATTGTTATTATAATTTTAATTGTTATTATAATTAATTGTTATTATAATTTAATTGTTATTATAATTTTAATTTTATTATAATTTTAATTGTTATTTTATAATTTTAATTGTTATTTATAATTTTAATTGTTATAATTTTGTTATTATAATTTAATTGTTATAATTCAATTTTATTGTTATTATAATTTTTATTGTTATTGTAATTATCATTGCTAATATAATTTTAATTGTTATTGTAATTATCATTGCTATTATAATCATCATTGTTATCATTGTTATTATAATTATCATTGTTATTATAATGATCATTGTTATTATAATTATCATTGTTATTATAATTATCCTTGTTATCATAATGATCATTGTTATTATAATGATCATTGTTATCATAATTATCATCATTATTATAATTATCATCATTATTATAATTATCATCATTATTATAATTATCATCATTATTATAATTATCATCATTATTATAATTATCATCATTATTATATTCATCATTATTATAATTATCATCATTATTATAATTTCATCATTATTATCATCATCATTATTATAATTATCATCATTATTATAATTATCATTATTATGATTATCATTGTTATTATAATCATCATCATAATTGGTATCGCCATTATATATTTACAATTTCCCATTGCTACATCAGCTTGCAATTGTGCGAAAGTAGCACAACTAATATATTTATTTTTTGTCATTTTTAAGTCAGTGCAAACAGTGACGGTAATCGAGTATAGAGAATGGCGCATATATTTTCAGAATATTCATAAAGTGTAAAAGAAGATGATGATGAAATATATTTTTTTCATATTCCAGGTCTCCATTTTTTTTTTTTTTTTTTTTTACCGAGTTGGCGTTTATGGAGCCGGGAATAATGTCACTAATCATTAATTGACAGATAGATTAAACCAAGAGTTTGTTGAATTTGATGCGTGCTTCAGTAAGGTTAGATCTTCGTGCGCAAATGTTTATTTCCCGATGACCAATAATAATAAATAAACCTTTCGGGTGATTTGCTTCAGTTGGTACGGCAAAGAACATTCCACGTAAAACAATGAGCATTAAATGGGAGCAAGAAATGGCAAACTACCCTCAGGTTCTTTTCAGGAGCTCAGCCTGAACCTCCTTTCGGCCACGGGTCTCCTCTGCGTCTTCGCCTCCCGTGTCCCCCGCCGAGTAGGCCTATATAACCTGAGGAAGCCATTTGCGCCACCTTATCCTTATCCATTTCAATTGCCTTATCCTTATCCATTTGCGCCACAATTGCCTTATCCTTATCCATTTGCGCCACAATTGCCTTATCCTTATCCATTTGCGCCACAATTGCCTCACCATGGAACTGGCTTCGGGGAAAGCGGCTGGCGTGCAGTGCCCGGAGTGCGGCAAGGGCTTCCCCAAGCAGAAGAACCTCAAGGCGCACATGCCCAGAGTTTACCATAAATGTGACTTCTGTGAGAAGACGTTCATGTCGAAATCGTCTCGGAACAAGCACATGCTGTCCCACGGCAACGCGCCGTTCACGTGCCTCCAGTGCGGGAAGCCCTTTCTGGAGGAGAAGAGCTTCCACCTCCACTTGCGGAGGCACGCTCCGGCTCCTCCGGAGGAAACCAACGTCCAGTGTCTGGAGTGCGGCAATTACTACCTCAACCAGAAGCGCCTGAAGATCCACATGGCCAAGCACGGGCCCAGAGCTTCCTACAAGTGTGATGTCTGTGACAAGGTGTTTGCGATGAAGTGGATTCGGGACACGCACGCGCGCTGACACGGCGACCTGGCCTACAAGTGCTCCTTCTGCGACGCCGCCTTCTGGCTTGAAGCCGCGTGGAAGCGCCACGAGCAGAAGCACACGGGGGAGAGGACCCACGTGTGCCACGTGTGCGGGAAGGGCTACCTCTTCAAGCACGGCCTCGGCGTCCACATGACCACCCACACGGGCGAGAAGCCGTACTCCTGCTCGCGCTGCGGGAAAGGCTTCCGCAAGCGCGTCCAGTGCAACAGCCACATTCGCCGAGAATGCGGACCTGCGACGGAGGCCGGGGAGCGGCCGCCGCTCGTCCTGCGGGAGCCGCCCCCTCGGCCGCCCCCCCGGCCGCAGCCCGAGGCGACGACTTCATCTACCATCATCCCTCCGTCCAGGTGGTGAGTGTGGGCAACGCCATCATTCTGCCTTACGGGACAGGTGGGCCTATCCAGGTGGGCGGCGGACCCCCGGGCACGGTCGTCGGGGCGCCTCCTGTGGCCACGGCGTGAAGGTCCTGAAGAGAGAGGCCCCACAATCTCCACAATTAGTGTATTGCTTACGTGTTTGTTGTATAGTTTCTAAATAAAGATACAAAATGACAATGCTAATGCTATTCAAAACCATATGCTACAAATGATTTATAAAGTAAGACACATATTTGATAAAATGTAATACCACTGAGAGTTGCGAATAATGTAGCTTTTTCATAAAAAGCTGCATGCATGTCATGTCGACACCTTTGTGTTTTGCAAGTAATTACGTACACAGGTTCACAAGAAAAACATATTATATACATGTCTTCAGTAACAAAGACATTGAAATACAATCATATAGGTACGTAGCTATTATAGATCTAGTAACATAACACAATAATACCATATTTAGTATCATAAAGCCAAGTTATAAATAAAGCCCGTATATAAATGACTACGGCCATTCTCTTTTTTTTTATCTAAAAACATACATAGATGCTATCATATATATGTGTATGTGTGTTCATAGATGTACAAATACCTATATATACACACACAAGCATACATACACCTATGTGTATGTACGTACCCATTGAACTAAATGCAGGTGAAAGAAAAAATATATCTTGCTCAATTAAAAGGATAGATGTTTATTCTAAGTGTAGGAAAAATATAGTGACACTTGAAAGCAGACAATAAATTAAGTAGAAAAATTGTTTATTATTGAGAAACCATTTTCCCCGTCTTGTGCGCGAACAAACAAACGTTTATTTCATTTGTTTGTGTTAAACACAAGTAATACGAATCATGTGTATCGAACACAGAATAAAGCGAACAGCATGCTGACGTTTCGTCCTTTAAACCCCGTCATCAGAACACCTCCATTCTACTGGGAACTGGTGAGCATCGCGAACAGGACCACCGGTTCGGTAGACTTGGCTCTCGCTTTTTGAGATTACTTGGAGAGGTAATTTTTTGCTTAATGTTATTCTCACTGTTGCTCCTTACTCTTGTCCGCTACATTCTTGTATATTCTACAGCTCTTCTCCAAACCTGAATTATATTTATATTAAACCAATGCCAGACTGAAACGGGATATAAAAGACGAGAAATCCATTTTCTGCAAGTAGATAGTGAATCCTTGTAAAGATACGTTTGTGACATTGTCTTAAGGCCTGTCACACACACTTTTTCCGTCAATTTTTGCGTTTCCGAGTGAACTTTCTATATGAAAAATGACTGACCTTTTCACATTACCAAAGTAGTAAACATTGCCCATATAAGCAGACATGGCGCTGTCGGAGTGAGGTCCCGGGAATAACACGATTCTTACACCAATTCAGACGGAATTCAGGCTCTCCGCTAGTATCGTTTGCGAACGGAAGGCCTCCCACACGAAGACGGGAACGACCGCTTCCGTCTTATATCCATCTTGATCTTGTGCTACGAAGGATCTATGCAGCTAGAATGTTTTTTTATTGATAAATTAGATAGAATGAGAATGTAAACAGTAGCTAATATTTTAGAACATTCGTATATACGCCATCATATTTCTTTAAGATACTGTAATATGTATGAGAATGTTCGTGTGATTCCCGGGACCTCCCTCCAACAGCGCCATGTTTGTTTAGAAGGGCAATGCTTTCTGCCTTGGCGGTGGGGAAGGGTCGGCTTTGTCTTTGTCTATAGCTTTGGCTTTATGCCTCTATTTCTATCTTTATCTTAATCTTTGTCTTTGTCTTGGTTGATTTTCATACGGAAAGTTCATTCGGAAACGCGAAAAATTACGGAAAAAAAGTGTTGGCGTGACAGGGCTTTTAAACAGCATTCGACGCCATTTCCTATTTCTCATCGTATCGTGATCTTGGCGAAGCGCCTTTCCGCCATGCCATGGCAGTGCCCACCCCGACAGCCCGTCACACACCCACGCGTCGTGCCCGGAGCTGCTCGGAATTGAGCCTGAAGCGGGCAGCGGGGAGGCCCTTGGTGCCAAGACCCGTCACGGCAAAGGTCCTCCCCGAAGAGGGGTTGGCCGCGACCTCCTCCGGGGTCATGAAGAGGGTTCCCGAGGTCACGAAGAGGGTGGAGTAGTCGGGTCCTCCCCAGCACACCGAAGTCGGGTTCTTGGCGGGAATGGCGACGCGGCGGAGGATCCTGCCGGTGCGGGGGTTCACGCAGAGGACCTGAGGGCGAGGGAAGGGCAAGGATTGCGGCGAATACACTACTTGACGCAAGCATTCGTTCTCATTCATTCCTCTTCTGCGAGTGACAGAATGGGTGAAATCTGCTGTGAAATAGGTTGTTTGGTGACATGGAATGATCACACAACGATAAGAAAATGGAAAAGGAAAAATAATTGGGATCTATGTCATGTCAAAAAACATCGTCTACAATATATATTGTTTTCTGTTCATAAATCGGACATAAAACCTAAGGTCTAGACTCTAAAAAGTGTATGAAAGTGCAGACTGAAACAGATTACCAGGACCGATTTTTTATTCAAATAATAAGCGATCAAACTATGAATGATTAAGAATACTTTCACATTACTTACGTAACGTTTAGATATTACACTTCTGAAACGTTTTTATTTTTTCTCAATCAGCCATAGCCGCCAAACTATGCACAATGGCGGATAAAAGTCTTTGAATGAATCGAAGCTTCGAATCTGTCTCATCCCATACAAAAAGTTTGGTATAAACGGATGTTCGAAACGAAATTCGAAACGAGTTCGACAAGATTTTTTTTTACCGTGACTGAACAGCGGAACAACCCGTCCTATGCCAACCTGTTTTCGAAGCACAATACAAGCAAACACACCTCGTAACATCTGAACAAATCAAGAAGAAGTCGACACAACAGGGCAACAGTTACCTGATGAGAGCCGAAGGACGCCACCCACAGGTTCCCGTCGACGTCGATCGCCATTCCATCCGGGACTTGGTCTCTCAGGTCGGCCTTGGCGTAGTCGAGAAGCAGGCGCCGGTTACCTGGGGAGAAGGTGAAGTGGTTTTGAGAGAGAGAGAGAGAGAGAGGAGAGAGAGAGAGAGAGAGAGAGAGAGAGAGAGAGAGAGAGAGAGAGAGAGAGAGAGAGAGAGAGAGAGAGAGAGAGAGAGAGAGAGAGAGAGAGAGAGAAGAGAGAGCGAGTAAGCGAGTGAATAGGTGTCTTTGCGAGCATATGAATCGGCGTGTGGGTGCATTTCCCATGGATGAGAGAGAATAAAGTAAGAAGGGAGAGGAAATGTAAAGGAAGAAGGAGGAGAATGTGAGAGAGAATATGAAGGAAGAAGAGAGAATGTGAATGTGAAGGAAGAAGGAAGAAAGGAAATGTGAAGGAAGGAGGAGAGAGACTATTACTTTCGAACGCAAAATACTCGGTTTCATTTCGTTTTCTCTCTCCTCTCCTACTCACTGATGGCTCCGGACTCGTCGTCGTAGTCGAAGGCGTCGATGGTGCGAGTGTGAGTGTCCACGAAGTAGAAGCTCTTCCGGTCCAGACTCCAGGCCAGGCCGTTCGAGAGGAACACCTGGGGGAAGGAGGGAGGAGGTGAGAGCAGCTGTTCTTGAGGTTATTTCCCGAATCTTTTTTTTTTTTTGTCTATATTTGTTTCTTCGTTTTTTGTCGCTTCGTGTTCTTCGTCTTTTCTTGTCTTTCGTCCCATTTCTCTATTTCGCTTTCTCTCTTTTATCTCTCTCTCTCTCTCTCTCTCTCTCTCTCTCTCTCTCTCTCTCTCTCTCTCTATAATATATATATATATATATATATATATATATATATATATATATATAATATATATATATATATATATCCTCATCTGTCTCTCTATTTCTCTCCCTCCCTCCGTCTCTCCCTCCCTGCCTCCCTCGATCTCTCCCTCCCTCCCTCCTACCGTCTCTCCTTCCCTCCCTCTCTCCTTCCCTCCCTCTCTCCCTCCCTCCCTAATAATTGATAGCAACGGGCGTGCCTCACCGGAGCCCATTTGGTGACCACGAGATTGCTGTCCATCCTGTAAAGCGCCGAAGCGTTGGCCTCCGTCGCCTCTTTGCCTTCGTCCAACAAGGAGACCGTGCCTGCCAAGGGGTTAGAGGGCGCGGGGTTAAAGAGGATTTGATTTGTAATTGTCGTGTCTGGTAAGAAGATAGAGAGTGCGCGGTAACCTTTAAGGTTAAAGAGGATTTGTCGTGTCTGTTCTTAAGCCTTGTCCGATTAAAACCTCTGATTAGAGATGCAAAACCAATTGTCGTGTCTGTTAGAAGATAGAGGATTAAGATAAAACCTCTTGTTAAAGAGGATTTGCTTTACAATTGCCGTGTCTGTTAAGAAGATAGAGAGTGCTGGATTAAGATAAAACCTCTTGTTAAAGAGGATTTGATTTACAATTGTCGTGTCTGTTAAGAAGATAGAGAGCGCGGGATTAAGATAAAACCTCTTGTTAAAGAGGATTTGATTTACAATTGTCGTGTCTGTTAAGAAGATAGAGAGCGCGGGATTAAGATAAAACCTCTTGTTAAAGAGGATTTGATTTACAATTGTCGTGTCTGTTAAGAAGATAGAGAGTGCGGGATTAAGATAAAACCTCTTGTTAAAGAGGATTTAATCTATAATTGTCGTGTCTATTAAGAAGATAGAGGGTGCGGGATTAAGATCAAACCTCTTGTTAAAAGAGGATTTACTTTATGAACGTCGTGTGCATAATCGCCGTGTTTTCAAGGAGAGAGAAAGTGAGGGGTTAAAATAGGATTGGTTATCCGTAAGTAAAAACTTGAACGCGAATTTATAGTGTAAGAAATGTTTATTTTTTATATAATTTCTCAACCGTAGGAGAATAAGATTATACACTGAGATTTCCTACTTTTCAGCATTTAAGGTGAGATCTACTTGGATAAAAGTAATTGTGTAAATACCGTGGCCTAATTATTATTTTTTTTTTGGGGGGGGGCGCAAAATTATTATGATGATGATGATCATGATCATGATGGTGGTGATGATGAATATGATCATGATAATAAAGACGAATATCATGCTGGTGATGATGCCCAATATGGCAATGGTGATGATGGAACAATAAAGCACATGCCAATGCCAGTGCCACAGTGCCACCCGCGGCCCCTTTCTCCGTCGAGCCAAGGCCACACTCACCAGCCCAGAGTCGTCCTCGAGGGTCACACTTGGCATCGTTGAAGCCGAAGTCGCTGGTCGTGTGGACGGACTTCGCGGTCGTGCTGTGGTCGTCGGGGTCCCGGGCCGTCCAGCGCAGGAACGACAGGTCCCTCCCCGTCACGGCCACGTACAGGTCGGCCTCGTCCTCCACTGGGATCGCGGCCGTCACCAAGTCGTTGGGGCCGCCGGTCTCGCCTGGGGGTCAGGAGGGGGAGGGGGGGGGTCAGGAGGTCTTGGGAGTTTGCAGCTTTCGGTTTTGGAGTTTTGCAATTTCTTTGTGCTACTTGTGACGTTTTGCACACTTAAAGCGGCAATTGTTGTCAAAGGTCTTCAAGTGTGAAGTGTTACAGGTAAGATATTTTGAAGCGTTACGTGTCATTGAGTTGTATTTTTTATTACAGCTCCTAAAGTATTGGAAATGTTACAGGCCATAATTTTTTTCGAAGTATTACAGGTTTAAGTTTTTCAGGCCCCACATAGAGCTATTAGGTTTTTTTTAAGAGTTACAGGCCATAAAGCTTCAAGTTTCATAGATACATTTTCATTGATTCCAAACACATTTTTACTATTTCTGCAATTTTGTTTATTAATTCTAGATGCATTTTAACTGATTCTAGGTACATTTTCACCAATTCTAGAAAGATTTTCACCGTAACAGACTTAAAACGAAGATCTAGTATAACAAATATCAGTACAGCGGTTCTGAGACCAATTGATACGGTATCCAGTGACAATACAGTGAAAAAGAGATCCCCAACGCTAAACATCTAATAATGAACCTATATTCCCTAAGACAACTAATCACTTATTTATCAAAGATAAGGTGTGAGACAAAACAATGAGAGTGAGTTTCGGTAGGAGAGAGAGAGAGAGAGACGAGAAGAGAAGGGGAGAGGTAAAGACAGGCTGAGAGACGGAGAGAGAGAGAGAGTGAAAGCAGAATAGACTGAGATATAGTGGCAGGCAGACAGGCAGCAGACAGACTAAGATACAATTAGAAAAAGCTAGAGAGAAAGATAATTGGATAGAGACTGGTAGAAAGGGAAAGCTAGGCATACAGACAGACAACAGACAAAAACACAATTAGAAAAAGCGAGAGAGAAAGATAAATAGATAGAGAGAGAGACAGGCAGACAGATAGACAGAGATACATATAGTCAGACATCCAGATAGACAGAGATACATAGAGTCAGATGGACAGATACATAGAGTCAGACAGTCAGATAGACAGAGACAGAGGAAACGAGACAGGAAAAGAAACACTTGGATCCCTACCCAGATGCAGGACCTGGTGTCTGCCGGAGGGGAAGAAGCGCCTCCTGAGGATGTTGCTGTAGACGTCGGCGAGCATGAGCGCCTGGAGGCTCTCGATCCAGTAGGGTCCCTCGCCCAGCACCAGGGGCGGGAAGTCCAGCTGCTCCACCGTCACCCCCGCCGTCTGGATGCTGCAAGGTCATGTACCGCAGTATAGGTTGGGATGCGATAAGAAAATAAACGATTTCACACCAGGAACTTCCGCTTCGAGGCTACGGCAGTGCCTCAAGGGAATAATAAACAAAGATAAACTACTCCATCAGGGCACTGTAGGGTCGGGCATTTCAGTGTAGATTCGGTCATAAGGCGATGAAGCAACTGGAGTGTGAAGGCGAATGCTGCTGCTCCTGCTACTGCTGCGACTACGAATACACTGCTACCAAAGCTAATGATAGTGACAATAATGTTCTTAATGATGATAGTAATGATGAGAGTTATTGTAATGATTGTGATTATGATTATGATGATAGTAATCATGATAATAATGATCATAATAATAATATTGGTTATAAGAATAAGAATAATGAGAATGAGAATAATAACAACATTATGATAGTGATAACAATAATGATGATGATGAGGATGGTGTTCATGATAATGGTAATTAATAATAATATAGTAATAATAATAGCAATGGTGTCAATAATAGTAATGGTAAGAAACACAGTAATAGTAACATTAAAAGCATTAGTAGTAACACGTAACAATAATAAGTATAAGATAACAATAATAATAATAATAACAATAATAAGTATAAGATAACAATAATAATAATAACAATAATAAGAATAAGTAGTAACAATAACAGAAAAGCAAATTTGTGAAAACAATAATGAAAATAATAATGATAATATATACTTTACTATATTCAAAGTCAGATTTCGTCAAAACCTGATCATGTACATTTTGATATATAACTTCGATGACTGTTTATATATATATATATATATATATATATATATATATATAATATATATATATATATATATATATATATATATATATATATATATATATATATTATATATAATATAATATATATATATATATATATATATATATATATATATATATATATATATATATATATATATATATATATATATATATATATATATATATATATAATATATATATATATATATACATATATATACATATATATATATGTATATATAATGTATATGTGTGTGTATATATATATATATATATATATATATATATATATATATATATATATATATATATATATATATATATATATATATATATATACATATATATATATATATATATATATATATGTATGTATATATATATATATAATATATATATATATATATATATATATATATATATATAATACATACATACATATATATAATATATATATATATATATATATATATATGTATATATATATATATATATATATATATATATATATATATATATATATATATATATATATATATATATATGTATTGTGTGTGTGTGTGTGTGTGTGTGTGTGTGTGTGTGTGTGTGTGTGTGTGTGTGTGTGTGTGTGTGTGTGTTGTGTGTGTGTGTGTGTGTGTGTGTGTGTGTGTGTGTGTGTGTGTGTGTGTGTGTGTGTGTGTGTGTGTGTGTGTGTGTGTGTGTGTGTGTGTGTGTGTGTGTGTGTGTGTGTGTGTGTGTGTGTGTGTGTGTGTGTGTGTGTGTGTGTGTGTGTGTGTGTGTGTGTGTGTGTGTGTGTGTGTGTGTGTGTGTGTGTGTGTGTGTGTGTGTGTGTGTGTGTGTGTGTGTGTGTGTGTGTGGCGTGCGTGTGTGTTGTGTGTGTGTGTCAAGCTATTGTTAGTTAATAGTATGTTTGAATTATCAAACGTATATATAAATTTTGTCTCTATAGTTTTTTTCGCACCGCTAATTGATTATTTTTGTATACCGAATCTGTTATTATATATATATATATATATATATATATATATATATATATATATATATATATATGTGTATGTGTGTGTGTGTGTGTGTGTGTGTGTGTGTGTGTGTGTGTGTGTGTGTGTGTGTGTGTGTGTGTGTGTGTGTGTCTATGCATGTATATATATGTATATATATATATATATATATATATATATATATATATATATATATATATATATATATATATATATATATTCATCTCACGTTACATATATAACTGTACACTGAAGGCAATACCTCATTCTTCATTGTTTAGGATATATGAAGCTACGTAACATATAAAATGGAAAAGTAACATGTTAAAATAACTACCACTATGAGCTTAAAATAACACTAAAACATTAACTGCCAGTCTCAATAGATCCATAATATATCACACACACACTAATTGATGCAATAAACACAATAACACGCGAGACACAACCACAATAACCACCAATATAACACTGTAACCAAAACACATGTGATGATGTAGTACCAGTGATACATTCTATAACAATCTACCTTATCTGGCTCATGGCAAGTGTGCTCCGTGCCTCCCGAAGTGCTTGAGAACACTGGCCGGAAAACAGCTTTGGTGAAAGCCCGGAACTCTGACCTTGGCGAGGTATCTGCTCGGCCTGAATTGCAATATTGCAACGGGGTTCCCTGCTTGGAAGTGAGGGATCTTGTGGAAATCTTTCTGAACAGAGAGAGAGTAAATGGATGTGAGAGTGAAATTGTTTATTTTGATGATGATTATGACCTTAATAGTGACAATGACGATCATTACTACTAATGATAGTAATAATAACAGTGATGGTAATCCTAATAATGACAACAATAGTAATGATAATGGTAATAACAATGATAATGATAATAATGATATTGGTAACAGAAATATCAATAATGTTAAAAACGATAATGAAAAATCAAACCAATAATTAGTATTAGAAATAGCAGTAGCAATGATAATGATAATTATATAAATAATAACAACAACAAAATAATAATAATAATAATGATG